TTTGCGAGAGAGTTGAATTAGTAGAATCACAAGCAGTAGGGGTTTAATAGGAAGACTTTAGGCGAACAGGAACACAAGCAAATCATAAACAGGTCTATGAACGAGAATTAGTGACGCCCTCCCATTATTCATGTGGACTCACTCCACTAATTCATTTGCCATCTCCTCCCATGTTAAAACACGAAATTGAACCTTCTATAACTTTTTCCAGAAATCTCGTTGAAAGCTTTCCAATATGTCGAATGAAAGCCTGACCAATTCTCAATGTCTCCTAAAAAATTCATTATATGATGACCATGAAAATTTTGAGCTACTAAAATTGAAAGTAGACTTCTACCGGTTATACTCATCCGCTAGAGTTTGGCGCTTCACAAAACGACTATTTTTAGAATTATCCTTCCGTCTTTAAGTCTCTCATTATCTCACCAAATCTGAAAGATAATGCAATTTCAGACATCAAATTCCAATTCTAGAACAAATTTTACCCAAAAATAGGCATGCAAAAACCCCAAAAGGGAGAGAGAAAGAAGATTTCTAAAAATAGCCTGAAGTTTCAGGTTTCAGTAATATGTAATGGTATTCCACTTTGTATTTTTCTCCTATGATTGGATAAATAAAGATGACAATACCATCATTTAAGGACATTCTTCATGAGGGAAATTTTGCCAGGACACCGACATTAGCCTGCACTTTTCCGGTTTCCAACTGTCGAGGGATCTTTAATGTACATAGCCTGTAGCACACGGGGCCTCGGTTTATTGTCCCATCCGTGGTATTATCTCGACCTCTGTAGAGATTGGGCCCTAGAACTTCAGGTTAGCGTCTATCTCAGTGAACCACTGCTACTCCCTAAAAAATTTAAACCGAAGGCCTAAGGCTTTGATTAATACACCGTTATCCTTTAGGATTCGTAAATCAGTTTCTACCGTAGTGTAGTTAAGTTAAAAAGATACTGTCAAACATCCTTGTGTCATCTCTACAGAACTGGAAGCAATCGGATGTAGATAATTGGTTAAGAATAGAGGTAGTATTGGCCTGAACTGGATGATGTAATAAAAAAAGAAAACCACACTGGGTATCGTGAGTACAAGCTCTGCACAATTGGTTGATGGAACAGCATTAGTTCGAGAAAGTTCTAAATATTTTCGCTGGTATACCACTATGGTGTTACTCTGTGTTTAGAAACAGCTATCACAATTTTTATATTAAAGGTAAGAACAAGTGGTGACACAACCCCCGTGTATATACTACGGAAGTCAGATGAAGACAGTAGAGTGATGTTATAACGGTGCCACTTTGTATTCCCAGTAAAACTATGAAATTTGAATTGTTGTGTTGAACAATACACCATGCTGTTGACATAATATCCCCTCATAATAAATCTTCGTCCAACTATACACAATAGACAATATTAAACCTAAATTACCTGGACAAGCTTGCTGTACTATCCATTTACCATCTTCACCACACAACAGAGTACCCGTATAATTATTTTCTGTCAGCTGATTAATTTCAGGACAGTTAAAAGTAAAATTATCACCAAAAATACCGGATTCTGTTACAGCATCTGAGTTAATGATATTCACACCTTGTGGACACATAACAGCTAAAATAAAAAAATAAATCTATCAGGCAATATTCCGAGGGTAGAGGTCAATGATATCAAAATGTGATGTGAAAATAATAAATTTACTAGACAATGATAGGAAAAATAGTAGCTCAAATGGGAATTAGTCCTAATAAGAATGAGCCCAAACAGACTGATACAAGGTTATAAACGTAAATTGCCAATAAATGGTATTGTAATAATTATAACCAATTTTTCATTGAGTTAATAATTCGAGGCTTTTCCCAATTTATCCAGATTTAAGATTTTTGTTCACTAATGGTAGGCTGTTTTTAATCTCATCAAAACATTTATCGCTGGTTAATCTGTCATAATCAATATGGTGTCGTTGGTATAGAGGTAGCACACAAAATAGTTACGTTTACATAAAAACAGTAGTTTCATATTTGGGGATTATTAATCCAATATAAAGATACAATGCCACGTAAATATTCCCATAAAATAGATGTTATGCCAAACAAAGGCGATATTGGGGTCCATAATGAATAATAACATATATAGAACTCTCTACCCAAATTCTTTATAAAAGGAAAGCAATCACCATATTAAGATGATATCAATATGAAAAAGTCACA